TTTCAATCCTATATGGGCTAATAAAAACAGGGTAAGTTCTAGAGTGCATTTACCAACAAAATGTTAAAAACTTTAATGTTGGTTCTATCTCGTTTTTGCAACATGTTCAGAACTACCAGAAGATTTTGTGAAAAGTATCTCGTCATGCGTCCCCTACACTATATTAATGATAATTTACAGCATAAGATTGCCGACTTTGTACATTCCAAGACGTTTCTCCAACATCGTAATTGGCATTGGAAATTAATGACGCAGTATATAGAAGGATGTTGCCCATCATTAATAATGCCGACTACGATGCCGGCTAAATGTCTGAAAATGTACAAAGTCAATATTCCGATACTAAAATTCATCATGAACCCTATAGAAGAAGACGCAGGACTATGTATGCTACATAAGGTCTTGCTGTCGATCCAACAATTGCGAAAATTAGGTCATTCCAACACATACGACGACTAAAGTAGATTACGACTAAACAAAAGGCCATACCATTTAAGTCTTAATAAGAACAAATATTCCTTTTTAGAATCATACAATTAGCTCTTATATTGCCTCGGGCGATCTATGCTGACTCAATTCCTTATAGAAGTTGATAAGATCAATTCTAGGCCAACTCATTCTATAAATAAAACTATTCAGTTTAACTTATATAATAAATAAATAAATAAAAATAAATAAATAAATTTATTACAAAATAGTGTTAAAAACTAAGTTAGATATATAATTTTTTATTTAAATCTACGCATTTTATAATTTAATGGCGGCTAGCTTGTAGGCCTTATTTTCGCTAATAGTGTGATTATAATTTCGTCCGAGTTATGCTTCCCTTTGATGAACAGGAAAGGCTCTTAGAAGATGCCTTGGTCAATGTACGTCAACATGCTTTTCAAATGGAAAGATGTTTGGTATGCTACACAAATTCTATGTTATGCTTTAGGACAAAAAAAAACTTATCGAAGGCCTCCAACATGCGACAAGCATGCTTCGTGAAATGGGGACTTCTCGCCTATCCCCAAAATCCTATTATGAATTATGTTAGTATTAAACTACTTCTAACTTTTTACTTAAGACATCGCTGTCACTGATAAGCTTCAAACGTTAGAATCCTTCTTAGTCGAAGAGTTTAAAGGAGGAAACAAATTTCCACATCTTTATGAAAAAGTTCAATACATTGAATCTATACT